GTCGTTGCTTTTCTGGAAATTCAAGGGCCAGTGTAGACAGCTCGCGGCTTATTCCAGAAAAGCGGCTGATTTTCTGGAATAAGTGGCCCAGTGTAGACACAGCCCAGCAGTATCCCCTTCACACTGACTGTACCCTAACTAATCTAACTGAAAGGAATCACTGAGTCTACAGACCAACTCTGAAGACCCCCAAAATGTTCAGCCTGATAGTTCAGTCTGAGGCACGAAGTTTAGCTCCACATTTGGCTCTTAGTCTGAACTTCTCCAGATGTTTGATGTTAGAGCAGTGGTCTCCAGCCTTTCTAACCACGAGATCACTTTTTCAGTGTAAGTGCAATGTAAGATCTACCTCAAACCCAAATACCTTTCTCGGTTTCCTTCCAGCCCCTTCTTTGAAGCCCTGCCCCTGCTTCACCCCTTCTCCGAGGCCTCACCCTGCTCGCTCCCTCTCCCGTGCAGGGGGCTGGGGTCCAGGCTCTGGCTGGGGCCAAGGAGTTTGGAGTGTGTGTGGGGGGGGGGCTCCGGGCTTAGCCCAGAGTGGGGGATTGGGGTTTAGGAGGGGGTTCAGGGTGCAAGCTCTGGGAAGGAGTTTGGGTGCAGGGGTTCTCATGTTTGGGGCAGGAGGTTGGGAGCAGGAGGAGGTTCAGGGCTGGGACAGGGGTTCAGAAAGCAGGCTCTGGCTGGGCACCGTTTCACTGAGATGGCTTCCGGGTGGTGGAGCAATGGGGTTAAGGTGGCTTATTCCTGCCCTGGCCCTGCACCACTCCTGAAAGCAGCTGGCATGGACAGCAGTGGCTCTGTGGCCCTCATCCACCGGCACTGAGCCCACAGCTCCTACTGGCCACAGTTCCCCGTTATTGTCAATGGGAGCTGCAGGAGCGGTGTCCGCAGGCAAGGACAGCACGTGGAGACCCCCTGCTCTGCCTTTCTCAGAGGCTGCAGGGACATGCCAGCCACCTCCAGCAGCAGCAAGTACCACAGGGGCAATGACTCCAGCCACGCCAGGTTCAGCATTTGAGAACTCAGTACTCAAAACATTTAGATTTAAGTATGAGAGAGAGAAATGAAAATGAGGAAATGCACAGACCAGTCAAAAACCCAAAAGAACCCACTTTGCAAGCAGTAAAAGAAGTAACAACCCCCCCCCCCCACCACCACACACACACACGTGTTGGGTCAGGAGATGAGAGGGAAGGACAGTGTGTGTTTGTGACAATGACAGAGACACACACAGTGTGTGAGAGTGACAGAGATTTGCATTGTCAAACTCCCTCCATCCCCTGCTCTCTGTGTGGAGATAGGGCACAGGAGTGTGCGGGGGGAGGGGGGAGAGACATTCTGACATCAATGGCCCCCCTTCTCCTTCCCACACTCTGCACAGTAAGCAGGAGGCTCCCAGGGGGGCAGCTGCAAGGCAGAGGGCAGGAGCAGCAGAACAGTAGGTAGAGGGGCAACTAAAGTGCCAGCATTTGATAGCTACCTGACCAAACCAGTCAAGATCACCTGTCAGAGGCTCCAAGATCTACCGGTAGATCCCGACCTTCTGGTTGGTCACCCCTGTGTTAGACTATGAGGTCCTGGTTGGGTCCATCAAAGATTGGGGTGGAGCTAGCATCCAGTTCTAGACCTGTCTCCCCTAAAGTTTAGGGTGAGCAGATCCAGTATTCAAAATGTTTACTGAACATGCCAGAGGCTATGTCTACGCTACACTTTTTTTTTTCAGAAAAAGGTATGCAATTGAGCTCTGCAATTTGCGTACCTTTTTCTGATTCTTTTTTCGGAAGAGGCTTTTCCATCTACACTGGGCCAAATTTCGGAAAAACTTTTTTTTGCGGAAGAGCCCTTCTTCCTCATGAAATGAGGCTTACCGCCATCGAAAGAAAAGCCGCGTTCTTTCGATTTAATTTACGTGTAGACATACCCGGACACAACCGGTAGGAGCTGGAAGTCTAGAACCTTCGCTGAACCACAGCTGCTGGCCATGTAACAAGAGGTGTTAGGCTACTCTGAGATTAGAGGGTACTGGGGTGCCGACGGTCGGGTGCTACCGCGCTCTGGGCTGGTCGCGGTTGCCAGGGGCTGAAAGCTTCATGCCCAGGTGTATCCATTGCTGTAGACCAGCCGAGAAGTGATACAGGCAGAGGACAGAGATGTAGGCCAGAGGCTGTGGAAATGGCCTCTCGGCCTACTCTCTTTCCCACCTCAGAAAGAGTCGATAGTAAAGCAAGAAGGCTGATCAAACTCTTGCTGTATTGTAGAGAGGAGCTGGGCGTTCGCTCTGGCCTGCTGGCCCCTGCCCACCATGCTCCTTTCTGACAGATCCCCCACTGGGTTGCCACTAACCAATGTCCTCTTGCTGCAGAAATTTGTGAGCACCACCGTGCGCCCGACTCTGCAGCCGTACCCGGAGCTGTACAACTGGGATGGCTGCGCCCAGTTCGTCTCTGACTATCTCACCATGGAGCCCCTCCGCTCCACTATCATGCCGGTAAGAAATGGCACTTCCTTCGAGTCTTCCTGTCACCACCCTCCGCGCTCCCTGGTAGCCGTGTTCCCGGGCGGCAACTCCGGGGAGATTCAGATGCCGCCCAACGGGCTAGCAGAGCACCCACAGCTAGGTTTTGTGTTTCTTTTGGTAGTGCACATTCGCACCTGCCTTGGTGCACATAAAAATTATTCTGCACATGGATGGAAAAAATCTGCAAATGGACGGAAAAGATTTGAGGGAACATTAATCAGGAGTCCCACATCATTATCACTAATGAGTGTCTCATCAAGGTATCACACTGGCACAGTCCCAGTCACGGAGTTATGATGAGTCACTTGCCCTTTGACCTCTCATGGAGCCCCCTCCTCACCAGGCCTATTAAGAACCCTTTCGCTGTCCATACGCGGGCAAAATTCCCATTGACTTCGATGAGCAGCAAGTACAGCTGCCGAAGCTGTCAGGTCTCAGCGATTATGGGACATGATGGGACTCTGTATCTCCTACACAGGACACTGAGGTGCCCCAGTGGAGGTTTCCAGAATGAGGAGAGGGCCTGGGGACCTGGTTAGAGATGAAGGCCCAGCTCCTTAGAGGCTGCAATGGAGCCACCCTGGCTTACACTTGCTGAAGAGCCACCCAGAATTGTTCAACTAGGTGTAGGGATCCAAAATCACCCCCCACATGTCTCTCGCACCTCGTCGAAAGCATCGTTATCCCCATTTTGCAGGTGGGGAAACCGAGGCACAGAGCAATGCCGCAGTTTGGCCAAGGTTGCACAGCAAGTGCCCAGACTGGGATTGGACTCCAGGCTCCCAGCCTGTTGCCCATCCGTTGACCCACGTGGCTTCCCGGCAAAGGAGTCTACAAATGAGAAACCGCTAGGGGGGACCACCAATGACCTCCTGAGGTCTCTTCCAGCTCTATGATTCTATGACCAATGAACTTGGGCAGAGTTATTTCATGGGCAGGCTCCAGAGACACAGGCAATCATGTAACAGAGAGCAGAGGGGGCAGGACTTGAACCCACCACCCTATGTGAATGAGAATCCACCCTGTCGCTGGTGGGAGAGCCAGAGAGCTCTGTTCTCTCTGCAGCTGCCTACGTGCAAGCCCCATTGGGGTTTTTCAGGGTATGGCCTGGAGAATCTCAGGGCACCTGGGAGCCGGTGCTTTGTTTCTGGAGGAGGGGCTGCAAGGGTGGAGGTAAAGAGACCGCGGAGGCAGGAATAGGACTAATGTGTTTGCTCTTTAAAGCCCAGCTTCCTGCCCTCCCCAACCACCACCCTGAGGTACCAAAGGGGGAATTGCTTCGGTTTCAGCGTGGTCCTCTGCTCCCTGCTGATCGGGGCAGGCTACGACGCCTACTGCGTGAACGGCTACGCCACGCGGGAAATCTGCCTGATGGACGAGACCAAGGAAGTGTGCCCCCTGCTGAAGAAGTCAAAGAAGGTGAGGCACCCAGCTCCCTGGGGGCACGTCCACCCAAGCAGCGTGTCCCTGGAAATGAGCGACATCCCGGGAGCTCCTCAAATTGCGTCGCTTATTGCGAAGGGGCTTATTTTGAAATAAATCGACATATGTTCAACACCTAGCGTGTTTCCGCTGACTTCCTCAAGCCTTGTAAAATGAGATTTACATGAAGCCGGCATAAGAAGCCCGGTGTTTGGAATTTATTTCGAAATAACGGGCTTCTTGGGTAGGCGGCACATACCGCTGCTTGAGAATAACGGACGTCATTGCAAAATAACTCTGCTGTGTAGATGTGCCCTGGTCAGGGCCATGCATGAGTCCACTGATTTTCGAGATGAAGACCCGCCGCTTCCTGTGCTGTCTGTTGGAATAACTGTGGCGGCTTAGAACCTCAGAGCCACAAAGTACTAACTCCCAGAATGTTAAGGGAGCTGACAGCCAAGGGTACCTTTGATCTGCCTCTCCTGTGACCTCTCTTAGATACCCATGTGTTGCCAGGAGTCCAGTTTTGGCCCAGACTGTCCGTTATTCAGATCCCCCGTCCGGTAAAAAAAAACCCAGATCTGCCTGTTTCCCTCAGACAGAAGCCAAGTGGGGACAATTTTCCTCTGCCTCATGTGGTGGGGGTGGGGAGTGAGGAGTGCCCCCCCCCCTTTTTTTTGCTCAACAGAATTTTTTCCCAGTTTTTTTTGGGGGGGGGGGGGGCTGTTTGGTATTTTTGGTTAAACCCTCTGGCAACCCTACATTTGGGTAAAGAAAGCTCTGTAGCTCTCTGCTCTTGTGGTTGCAGATCCTGAAAGAGCCTGTGAAGGAGAAGGTGAAAAAGTATGCAATCAAGCCCCCCCGGGACCTACGCAGCAAATTCGAGCTCCAGCAGGCGGCCAAGAAGGAAGCCGAAATTGTAGCCGCACAGGAGAAGAAGCAGAAGGAGGAAGAAGAAAGGATCGTGGTGAATAAATGTTTGGGTGTCTCCATCTTACTTGAACTCCCAACAGCAAGATCCCTGACACAGCTAGCGACCGGCTCATTGAACTGTGAGGGCGCGTCTACACACAGCAGCGCTAGCTCGCAATAAGCTATGCCATTTGAGCTGTGCAAAATGCGTCCCTTATTTTGAGAGTATTTTGAAACAGAGCGCCATTCCGACAAGTCCCTTACTCCTCGTGGAGAGAGGTTTACCAGGACGTCGAAATAGCGCGCCCGTGATTACATGTTGAAATCATGGGTGTGCTGTCTAAACACAGAAAATGCTATTTCGGGATACCGGAAGTATCCTGAAAAAGCACCAGAGTTTAAACGTACCCTGAAGGCTTGTCTACAGAGCACTGTTATTTCGGAATAACGGCACGTCTGCACACAAGCAGTTCTTTCGACATAATGTCAAAATAGTGGCCAGCTGGAGGACTTCTTACTCTGACTCCTGTAACTCTCATTGTACGAGGCATAAGGGAAGTCGGAGGAAGAGAGCTCTATTTTGAAATAAGTGCTGTGTAGACGTGCCCGAATTCGAAATAAGCTATTTCGACTTAAACTTCGCAATTGGTGTAGCTCTGTACTATGTGTGACATACAGAATCCTTTACATCCCCAAAGGATTCTCAGATGTTAAGCTAATCTTCCCAACTCCCTCCAAGGCAGATGAGTAATATTCTCCCCCTGGAGTGAGTGGGAAAACTGAGGCACAGAGCCATTAGGCCCTAGCTTTTCAAAAACCTCCACTGATTTTTTAGATGAAGATTAACTAGGTCAAATTCCAGCTGATAGAAAGAGACGAAGAGGACCAGAATCCTGGGTCCATTGCTGGTTGTGTGCCTGTGACCCGTTGAGTGACCATGGAGACACTATTTTCCGTGCTGCGTGCCTCAGTTTCCCTACTATAGACCAGAACTAATGATAATTGTGCAACTTCACAGAGGGGGTCGGGAGGGGTTCATCCATCACTTAGGTCAAATTCCAGCTGATAGAAAGAGACGAAGAGGACCAGAATCCTGGGTCCATTGCTGGTTGTGTGCCTGTGACCCGTTGAGTGACCATGGAGACACTATTTTCCGTGCTGCGTGCCTCAGTTTCCCTACTATAGACCAGAACTAATGATAATTGTGCAACTTCACAGAGGGGGTCGGGAGGGGTTCATCCATCACTTAGGGT